CAAAGAACACAGAGAACACAGAGAACACAAAGAACACAGAGAACACAAAGAACACAAAGAACACAAAGAACACAGAGAACACAAAGAACACAGAACACAAAGAACACAGAGAACACAAAGAACACAGAGAACACAAAGAACACAAAGAACACAAAGAACACAAAGAACACAGAGAACACAGAGAACACAAAGAACACAAAGAACACAAAGAACACAGAGAACACAAAGAACACAGAACACAAAGAACACAGAGAACACAGAGAACACAGAGAACACAGAGAACACAAAGAACACAAAGAACACAAAGAACACAGAGAACACAAAGAACACAGAACACAAAGAACACAGAGAACACAGAGAACACAGAACACAAAGAACACAGAGAACACAAAGAACACAAAGAACACAGAACACAAAGAACACAAAGAACACAGAGAACACAGAGAACACAGAGAACACAAAGAACACAGAACACAAAGAACACAGAGAACACAGAGGACACAAAGAACACAAAGAACACAGAGAACACAGAGAACACAAAGAACACAGAGAACACAAAGAACACAAAGAACACAAAGAACACAAAGAACACAGAGAACAGAGAACACAGAGAACACAGAGAACACAGAGGACACAAAGAACACAAAGAACACAGAGAACACAGAGAACACAAAGAACACAGAGAACACAAAGAACACAAAGAACACAGAACACAAAGAACACAGAACACAAAGAACACAGAGAACACAAAGAACACAGAACACAAAGAACACAAAGAACACAGAGAACACAAAGAACACAGAGAACACAAAGAACACAGAGAAAACAAAGAACACAGAACACAAAGAACACAGAACACAGAACACAAAGAACACAGAGAACACAAAGAACACAGAGAAAACAAAGAACACAGAAAACAAAGAACACAGAACACAAAGAACACAGAACACAAAGAACACAAAGAACACAGAGAAAACAAAGAACACAGAACACAAAGAACACAGAACACAAAGAACACAGAGAACACAAAGAACACAAAGAACACAGAGAACACAGAGAACACAGAGAACACAGAGAACACAAAGAACAAAAAGAACACAAAGAACACAGAGAACACAAAGAACACAAAGAACACAGAGAACACAGAGAACACAGAGAACACAGAGAACACAAAGAACAAAAAGAACACAAAGAACACAGAGAACACAAAGAACACAAAGAACACAGAGAAGACAGAGAACACAGAGAACACAGAGAACACAAAGAACAAAAAGAACACAAAGAACACAGAACACAAAGAACACAGAGAACACAGAGAACACAAAGAACACAGAGAACACAAAGAACACAGAGAACACAGAACACAAAGAACACAGAACACAAAGAACACAGAGAACACAAAGAACACAAAGAACACAGAACACAAAGAACACAGAGAACACAGAGAACACAGAGAACACAAAGAACACAGAGAACACAAAGAACACAGAGAACACAGAACACAAAGAACACAGAACACAAAGAACACAGAGAACACAAAGAACACAGAGAACACAGAACACAAAGAACACAGAACACAAAGAACACAGAACACAAAGAACACAGAGAACACAAAGAACACAAAGAACAAAAAGAACACAAAGAACACAGAGAACACAAAGAACACAGAACACAGAACACAAAGAACACAGAGAACACAGAGAACACAAAGAACACAGAGAAGACAGAACACAAAGAACACAGAGAAGACAGAGAACACAAAGAACACAGAGAACACAAAGAACACAGAGAAGACAGAACACAAAGAACACAGAACACAAAGAACACAGAGAAGACAGAGAACACAAAGAACACAGAGAACACAGAACACAAAGAACACAGAGAACACAAAGAACACAGAGAACACAGAGAATACAAAGAACACAGAGAACACAGAACACAAAGAACACAGAACACAAAGAACACAGAGAACACAAAGAACACAGAACACAGAACACAAAGAACACAGAGAACACAGAGAACACAAAGAACACAGAGAAGACAGAGAACACAAAGAACACAAAGAACACAGAGAACACAAAGAACACAGAGAACACAGAGACCACATAGAACACAAAGAACACAGAGAACACAAAGAACACAAAGAACACAGAGAACACAGAGAACACATAGAACACATAGAACACAAAGAACACAGAGAACACAGAGACCACAGTGAACACAGAGAACACAGAGACCACATAGAATACAAAGAACACAGAGAACACAGAGAACAAATATACACGTTCCTTCAGTAATAAACTTGGATAGAAAGAGCTTTATAAACCCTGGGTAAATAATGGCATTCTTAAAATATATATTTTCACCCAATTCTTCCGCCGAATGGCTTTAAAGTCGTTCAGCCTCGACAAGAGAGTGGGAAAGTCAACCATAATGAAGCCCCCAATTTTAGCCTCGCCCCGAAACGGCGTAACTGCTGCAAGATACGGAAATTAAAACTATTTATACGACTTGAGAATGAACCAGTAAGTTGTTCTCATCGCCCTGGTTAGGCTGTCTAGGGTAATTCATGACCCCCTAATGATCATTCTTGTCGCCTGCTATTTCTAGCGACACACACACATTCCCTGCTATTTCTAGCGACACATACACATTCCCTGCTATTTCTAGCGACACACACACATTCCCTGCTATTTCTAGCGACACACACACATTCCCTGCTATTTCTAGCGACACATACATATTCCCTGCTATTTCTAGCGACACACACATATTCCCTGCTATTTCTAGCGACACACACATATTCCCTGCTATTTCTAGCGACACACACATATTCCCTGCTATTTCTAGCGACACACATACATTCCCTGCTATTTCTAGCGACACACACATATTCCCTGCTATTTCTAGCGACACACACATATTCCCTGCTATTTCTAGCGACACACACATATTCCCTGCTATTTCTAGCGACACATACATTCCCTGCTATTTCTAGCGACACACATTAACACATTCCCTGCTATTTCTAGCGACACACACACATTCCCTGCTATTTCTAGCGACACACACACATTCCCTGCTATTTCTAGCGACATACACACATTCCCTGCTATTTCTAGCGACACACACATATTCCCTGCTATTTCTAGCGACACATACACATTCCCTGCTATTTCTAGCGACACACACATTCCCTGCTATTTCTAGCGACACACACACATTCCCTGCTATTTCTAGCGACACACACACATTCCCTGCTATTTCTAGCGACACACACACACATTCCCTGCTATTTCTAGCGACACACACACATTCCCTGCTATTTCTAGCGACACACACACATTCCCTGCTATTTCTAGCGACATACACACATTCCCTGCTATTTCTAGCGACACACACACACATTCCCTGCTATTTCTAGCGACACACACACATTCCCTGCTATTTCTAGCGACACACACACATTCCCTGCTATTTCTAGCGACACACACACATTCCCTGCTATTTCTAGCGACACACACACATTCCCTGCTATTTCTAGCGACACACACATATTCCCTGCTATTTCTAGCGACACACACACATTCCCTGCTATTTCTAGCGACACACACACATTCCCTGCTATTTCTAGCGACACACACACATTCCCTGCTATTTCTAGCGACACACACACATTCCCTGCTATTTCTAGCGACACACACACATTCCCTGCTATTTCTAGCGACACACACACATTCCCTGCTATTTCTAGCGACACACACACATTCCCTGCTATTTCTAGCGACACACACACACATTCCCTGCTATTTCTAGCGACACACACACATTCCCTGCTATTTCTAGCGACTTGTGCTTTAAAGTCATGCACTATTTGGCAACACATTTTCTCTATTAACATGAATTTGTTTTATCGTTTAGTAAAACATCATAGTGTTACATAGAGCTGTTACACGGTGTTACACAGAGCTGTGACACAGTGTTACATAGAGCTGTGACACAGTGTTACATAGAGCTGTGACACAGTGTTACACAGAGCTGTGACACAGTGTTACATAGAGCTGTTACACGGTGTTACACAGAGCTGTGACACAGTGTTACATAGAGCTGTGACACAGTGTTACATAGAGCTGTGACACAGTGTTACACAGAGCTGTGACACAGTGTTACATAGAGCTGTGACACAGTGTTACATAGAGCTGTGACACAGTGTTACATAGAGCTGTGACACAGTGTTACATTGAGCTGTGACACAGTGTTACATTGAGCTGTGACACAGTGTTACATAGAGCTGTGACACAGAGTTACATACAGCTGTGACACAGTGTTACATAGAGCTGTGACACAGTGTTACATAGAGCTGTGACACAGTGTTACATAGAGCTGTGACACAGTGTTACATAGAGCTGTGACACAGTGTTACATTGAGCTGTGACACAGTGTTACATAGAGCTGTGACACAGTGTTACATAGAGCTGTGACACAGTGTTACATAGAGCTGTGACACAGTGTTACATAGAGCTGTGACACAGTGTTACATAGAGCTGTGACACAGTGTTACATAGAGATGTTACACAGTGTTACATAGAGCTGTGACACAGTGTTACATAGAGCTGTGACACAGTGTTACATAGAGCTGTGACACAGTGTTACATAGAGCTGTGACACAGTGTTACATAGAGCTGTGACAATGTTACATAGAGCTGTGACACGGTGTTATATATATATATATATATATATATATATATATATATATATATATATATATATATATATATATATATATATATATATATGTCGTACCTAGTAGCCAGAATGCACTTCTTGGCCTACTATGCAAGGCCCGATTTGCCTAATAAGCCAAGTTTTCCTGAATTATTACATTTTCTCTAATTTTTTTCTTATGAAATGATAAAGCTACCCATTTCATTATATATGAGGTAAATTTTTTTTATTGGAGTTAAAATTAACGTAGATATATGACCGAACCTAACCAACCCTACCTAACCTAACCTAACCTATCTTTATATGTTAGGTTAGGTTAGGTAGCCGAAAAACAATTAATTCATGAAAACTTGGCTTATTAGGCAAATTGGGCCTTGCATAGTAGGCTAAGAAGTGCGTTCTGGCTACTAGGTACGACATATATATATATATGTCGTACCTAGTAGCCAGAACGCACTTCTCAGCCTACTATACAAGGCCCGATTTGTCTAATAAGCCAAGTTTTCATGAATTAATTGTTTTTCGACTACCTATCCTACCTAACCTAACCTAAACTAACTTTTTCGGCTACCTAACCTAACCTAACCTATAGAGATAGGTTAGGTTAGGTTAGGTTAGGTAGGGTTGGTTAGGTTAGGTTAGGTTAGGTTAGGTTAGGTTAGGTTAGGTTAGGTTAGGTTAGGGAGGGTTGGTTAGGTTAGGTTAGGTTAGGTTAGGTTAGGTTAGGTAGGGTTGGTTAGGTTCGGTCATATATCTACGTTAATTATAACTCCAATAAAAAACAATTGACCTCATACATAATGAAATGCGTAGCTTTATGATTTCATAAGAAAAAAATTAGAGAAAATATATTAATTCATGAAAACTTGGCTTATTAGGCAAATCGGGCCTTGCATAGTAGGCTGAGAAGTGCGTTCTGGCTACTAGGTACGACATATATATATATATATATATATATATATATATATATATATATATATATATATATATATATATATATATATATATATATATATATATATATATATATATATATATATATATATATATATATATATATATATATATAACTTCTATATCTTTAAATGGAAATGTCTGTCTAAGATTGAAGATCAGACGTCTAGAGTTAGTCTCACACAATTGATCTAAATCATGGATACAAAAGATAAACATCCATTAACGTGTGTGAACACTGGTTCGTCCAATGAAATTACCAGAACGTGACAAATCTATGAGACAACGTTGAGGTTATGCAATGGAATCGAACCCGCGTCCCTGAACTCCCCCCCATGGATCAGTCTGTGTGTGCCTAAGGAGGGCAAAGATGCCAGTTCAATCCCATCGTATTGCCTAAATCTATCCTCAGTGGATTGTTAAGAGGGCTGGTGATTTACTAGACTCGTTAAGAGTAGCATAATTGATGTGGGGGGGGGGGTTAGTTGAACTGTTACAAGCAGAGGCTTAAATGGTTCTGTAGCACAATTGGCCTATAAATAGAAACGGTGTCTAGATAGCCAATAGGCGTCCAGCAGTTAGAGAACAATCAGTTGGCGCCCAGCAGTTAGAGAACCATCAGTTGGCGTCCAGCAGTTAGAGAACCATCAATTGGCGTCCAGCAGTTAGAGAACCATCAGTTGGCGTCCAGCAGTTAGAGAACCATCAATTGCACGAACAAGGAAATATTAACCTGTGCAGTGGACCAGCTTATGACAGCACACTGCTAGTATCAGTAGACTCAGGAGACTATGGAGTTGGGCTCTAGTTGTGGGTCTGGAGTGGCCTCTCCAGGGCGCAAAGCCAGGGGAAGGTTGATACTGGAGGGGGAGGAAGCTGTTACCCATGCAGCAGGTAAGTCTCCGCGGCACCAAAAGTCTCCAATGGAAAGGCAGACGCCGGTGTGATTGGTTCCAGCGGCGTCCGTGGGACAACACATTAACTGCGCCTTTGCTTGTGCCCTTGTTCGCAGCCGGTAGTTAGGTCGTTAACGCTAAATCATCTTGTTACACTAACTCTTGGGTCGTTTATTACGTTACTGATCACTATACACCGTGTAGTCACCTAGTTGTATTCATCTAGTTGTATTCAGCTAGTTGTATTCACCTAGTTGTATTCATCTAGTTGTAGTCACCTAGTTGTATTCATCTAGTTGTATTCATCTAGTTGTAGTCACCTAGTTGTATTCATCTAGTTGTATTCATCTAGTTGTATTCACCTAGTTGTATTCATCTAGTTGTATTCATCTAGTTGTATTCACCTAGTTGTATTCATCTAGTTGTATTCATCTAGTTGTATTCATCTAGTTGTATTCACCTAGTTGTATTCCTAGTTGTATCATCCTAGTTGTAGTCACCTAGTTGTATTCATCTAGTTGCAGTCACCTAGTTGTATTCATCTAGTTGTAGTCATCTAGTTGTATTCATCTAGTTGTATTCACCTAGTTGTATTCATCTAGTTGTATTCATCTAGTTGTATTCACCTAGTTGTATTCACCTAGTTGTATTCACCTAGTTGTATTCCCCTAGTTGTATTCATCTAGTTGTATTCACCTAGTTGTATTCATCTAGTTGTATTCACCTAGTTGTGTTCATCTAGTTGTATTCATCTAGTTGTATTCATCTAGTTGTATTCACCTAGTTGTATTCACCTAGTTGTATTCCCCTAGTTGTATTCACCTAGTTGTATTCACCTAGTTGTATTCCCCTAGTTGTGTTCACCTAGTTGTATTCCCCTAGTTGTATTCACCTAGTTGTATTCTCCTAGTTGTATTCACCTAGTTGTATTCCCCTAGTTGTATTCACCTAGTTGTATTCACCTAGTTGTATTCACCTGGTTGTATTCCCCTAGTTGTATTCCCCTAGTTGTATTCTCCTAGTTGTATTCACCTAGTTGTATTCCCCTAGTTGTATTCACCTAGTTGTATTCAGCTAGTTGTATTCCCCTAGTTGTATTCACCTAGTTGTATTCAGCTAGTTGTATTCACCTAGTTGTATTCACCTAGTTGTATTCATCTAGTTGTATTCCCCTAGTTGTATTCCCCTAGTTGTATTCCCCTAGTTGTATTCCCCTAGTTGTATTCCCCTAGTTGTATTCACCTAGTTGTATTCACCTAGTTGTATTCATCTAGTTGTATTCACCTAGTTGTATTCACCTAGTTGTATTCCCCTAGTTGTATTCACCTAGTTGTATTCAGCTAGTTGTATTCACCTAGTTGTATTCACCTAGTTGTATTCATCTAGTTGTATTCACCTAGTTGTATTCACCTAGTTGTATTCCCCTAGTTGTATTCCCCTAGTTGTATTCAGCTAGTTGTATTCACCTAGTTGTATTCACCTAGTTGTATTCACCTAGTTGTATTCAGCTAGTTGTATTCACCTAGTTGTATTCAGCTAGTTGTATTCACCTAGTTGTATTCAGCTAGTTGTATTCACCTAGTTGTATTCACCTAGTTGTATTCATCTAGTTGTATTCCCCTAGTTGTATTCATCTAGTTGTATTCATCTAGTTGTATTCACCTAGTTGTATTCACCTAGTTGTATTCCCCTAGTTGTATTCACCTAGTTGTATTCACCTAGTTGTATTCCCCTAGTTGTATTCACCTAGTTGTATTCCCCTAGTTGTATTCCCCTAGTTGTATTCACCTAGTTGTATTCACCTAGTTGTATTCACCTAGTTGTATTCACCTAGTCGTATTCCCCTAGTTGTATTCCCCTAGTTGTATTCCCCTAGTTGTATTCACCTAGTTGTATTCAGCTAGTTGTATTCACCTAGTTGTATTCCCCTAGTTGTATTCACCTAGTTGTATTCAGCTAGTTGTATTCACCTAGTTGTATTCACCTAGTTGTATTCATCTAGTTGTATTCCCCTAGTTGTATTCCCCTAGTTGTATTCCCCTAGTTGTATTCCCCTAGTTGTATTCACCTAGTTGTATTCCCCTAGTTGTATTCATCTAGTTGTATTCCCCTAGTTGTATTCCCCTAGTTGTATTCCCCTAGTTGTATTCACCTAGTTGTATTCAGCTAGTTGTATTCACCTAGTTGTATTCCCCTAGTTGTATTCACCTAGTTGTATTCACCTAGTTGTATTCCCCTAGTTGTATTCACCTAGTTGTATTCATCTAGTTGTATTCACCTAGTTGTATTCACCTAGTTGTATTCCCCTAGTTGTATTCCCCTAGTTGTATTCACCTAGTTGTATTTAGCTAGTTGTATTCACCTAGTTGTATTCACCTAGTTGTATTCCCCTAGTTGTATTCAGCTAGTTGTATTCACCTAGTTGTATTCCCCTAGTTGTATTCATCTAGTTGTATTCACCTAGTTGTATTCACCTAGTTGTATTCCCCTAGTTGTATTCACCTAGTTGTATTCATCTAGTTGTATTCACCTAGTTGTATTCCCCTAGTTGTATTCATCTAGTTGTATTCACCTAGTTGTATTCACCTAGTTGTATTCACCTAGTTGTATTCACCTAGTTGTATTCATCTAGTTGTATTCACCTAGTTGTATTCCCCTAGTTGTATTCACCTAGTTGTATTCACCTAGTTGTATTCACCTAGTTGTATTCAGCTAGTTGTATTCACCTAGTTGTATTCCCCTAGTTGTATTCACCTAGTTGTATTCAGCTAGTTGTATTCACCTAGTTGTATTCCCCTAGTTGTATTCACCTAGTTGTATTCAGCTAGTTGTATTCACCTAGTTGTATTCAGCTAGTTGTATTCCCCTAGTTGTATTCACCTAGTTGTATTCAGCTAGTTGTATTCACCTAGTTGTATTCACCTAGTTGTATTCAGCTAGTTGTATTCACCTAGTTGTATTCACCTAGTTGTATTCACCTAGTTGTATTCACCTAGTTGTATTCCCCTCGTTGTATTCCCCTAGTTGTATTCACCTAGTTGTATTCACCTAGTTGTATTCCCCTAGTTGTATTCACCTAGTTGTATTCACCTAGTTGTATTCACCTAGTTGTATTCACCTAGTTGTATTCCCCTCGTTGTATTCCCCTAGTTGTATTCACCTAGTTGTATTCACCTAGTTGTATTCCCCTAGTTGTATTCCCCTAGTTGTATTCATCTAGTTGTATTCATCTAGTTGTATTCACCTAGTTGTATTCCCCTAGTTGTATTCAGCTAGTTGTATTCACCTAGTTCTATTCACCTAGTTGTATTCATCTAGTTGTATTCACCTAGTTGTATTCACCTAGTTGTATTCACCTAGTTGTATTCACCTAGTTGTATTCACCTAGTTGTATTCCCCTCGTTGTATTCCCCTAGTTGTATTCACCTAGTTGTATTCACCTAGTTGTATTCCCCTAGTTGTATTCACCTAGTTGTATTCACCTAGTTGTATTCACCTAGTTGTATTCCCCTAGTTGTATTCACCTAGTTGTATTCACCTAGTTGTATTCACCTAGTTGTAGTCACCTAGTTGTATTCACCTAGTTGTAGTCACCTAGTTGTATTCACCTAGTTGTAGTCACCTAGTTGTATTCACCTAGTTGTAGTCACCTAGTTGTATTCACCTAGTTGTAGTCACCTAGTTGTATTCACCTAGTTGTGCTTGCGGGGGTTGAGCTCTGCTCTTTCGGTCCGCCCCCCCCCTCCCCTGTCAATCAATCAACTGTTACTAACTACAAACTATTTTTTTTTCACACACACCCCAGGAAGCAGCTCCGTAGCAGCTGACTATCTCCCAGGTACCTATTTACTGCTAGGTAACAGGGGCATCAGGGTGACAGAAACTCTGCCCACTTCTCTTTGCCTAGTACGGGAATCGAACCCGGGCAACAGGATTACGAGTCCCGCGCGCTGTCCACTCAGCTACCAGACCCCTGTAATTTATGTGTATTTATACCTATGTATATTTATACATATGATGGAATGTATACAAAAGATGTAAAGCAAAAATTTTAATTTATTTTTATATTTTATTATTTAAATGAAATAATTTAAATTAAATTAATTATAATTATAATTAAATAATTATAATATAAATAATTAAAATATATAATAATAATTAAATTAAATAAATATATTTAAATTAAATAATATTAATTTGTATATATTTCTTAGTAAATGATTAATAAATGTCCCCAGAAATTATCTTAAGTTTGGCTACAGAGTTCTTCTAAATCAGTTAATTACTTCCTTAATTACCTTCCTTAGTTAATTAGGATTAATTACTCTAATTAACTACCAACCACACCATGAGTGCCCACAATAAGGGTCGTAAGTGGTGAGTAACGAGCCCCAGTAACGAGGGGTCGTAAGTGGTGAGTAACGAGTCAGTAACGAGGGGTCGTAAGTGGTGAGTAATGAGCCTCAGTAACGAGGGGTCGTAAGTGGTGAGTAACGAGTCACAGTAACGAGGGGTCGTAAGTGGTGAGTAACGAGCTAGTAACGAGGGGTCGTAAGTGGTGAATAACGAGCCCCAGTAACGAGGGGTCGTAAGTGGTGAGTAATGAGCCTCAGTAACGAGGGGTCGTAAGTGGTGAGTAATGAGCCTCAGTAACGAGGGGTCGTAAGTGGTGAGTAACGAGTCAGTAACGAGGGGTCGTAAGTGGTGAGTAACGAGCCAGTAACGAGGGGTCGTAAGTGGTGAGTAACGAGCCAGTAACGAGGGGTCGTAAGTGGTGAATAACGAGCCCCAGTAACGAGGGGTCGTAAGTGGTGAGTAACGAGCCCCAGTAACGAGGGGTCGTAAGTGGTGAGTAACGAGCCCCAGTAACGAGGGGTCGTAAGTGGTGAGTAACGAGCCCCAGTAACGAGGGGTCGTAAGTGGTGAGTAACGAGCCCCAGTAACGAGGGGTCGTAAGTGATGAATACCGACCCCCAGTAACGAGGGGTCGTAAGTGGTGAGTAACGAGCCCCAGTAACGAGGGGTCGTAAGTGGTGAGTAACGAGCCAGTAACGAGGGGGTCATAAGTGGTGAGTAACGAGTCACTAACAACGAGTCAAGCGGTAAATAACGAGCCACTGGGGCTACTAAAGAACATTTACAGTCGTAGCTTAACAATGCATGAGGCTAATAGCCCTCAACCACCGTGGTGTTCGGCTCGTGTCGTCTACCTAACTACCGAACCAACCAATCGCAAGTCCCGTCACTGGCGAAGGGATACGGCACCATGCAAGCCCTCGCCTGAGTGGCTGGCGCTGAGAGAGCCCTCACGTGATTGGCGGACACGCCCAGCCTCCAGAAGCCACACCATTCGTTCAGAAATTCAGACTTTTCGTTCAGACTCTGAAATCAAACTCCTGAAGAAACAGCTTCTCTAATATATTCCACAAATACAGCTGTATTATCAAATGTAGTGTACTACAGTACTCTGTATTTTAGGGTACTGAAAGTAGAGTTAGGTGATATTTTTAGGCCTAGAAATAGGCTTAGATTAGAGGCCTATTTCGTGGATTTGAGATGATAGAGAGTGACAAACTGGACTTGGAGACTGACCAATTGGGCGGGGTTTATCTAGCTAAACGAATCCAGGTGCCCCAATGCCCTCTTGGCAAGCACTCTCACCCCGTCCTCACTCACCCACACACACACACGCGCGTGCGTGCGTGCGCCTCTCAACACACACACACCCCCCGCTCAGACAAGTCAACCCCATGGAACCACCAACCCCAGAGCTCCTAGTGACCCTAAAAAGAATCTGAAATACCACGATAACTAACCTAACCTAACCTAACCTAACCTAACCCAAGTGATCTTGAATCGAAGTGTGAATATGTGTACAGTTATCTCCCTCACCGGAGCCTAGCGTGACGGGGGGATAACCCCTAGATAACCCCTAGATAACGCCTAGTGCGGAGACGTGAGCCGGACATCCCTGATCTAGAAGCCCAGGACCAAACAGCAGCAAAGATGTGGGGGAAGCTGCTCAGAGACATAAAGGTTAACCTCTTGTCTTCCGACCTGATGCCATTGAAATTTCTCTTCTTCATGCTCTATGCAGGTAAGCAAGTCTTCCGGGTGATGTATCAGCCTGTTGTTGAAAGCATGTGGCATACACTTTGCTACATCTAGCAGGGGGGTGGGGGGGTCTAGAAGGGATCAACCTACTGAAAATACAACGCAGATACAATGATATTTATACAGTTTATACAGGTGTGTATAGGTATACTTATCACTATACATACAATTTTATTGTATTCAGAGTATACATAATTGGAATGGCCTTCCCAAGTACGTAAATCAGTACGTCAAAAACTACCAATTAACTGCCCAATTAGCACTGTTAACAAGCGGTATATACGTTCCTGACTCACTATCTACCATCCCGGGTTCGATTCCCGATCGGGGCAGGAATGGCCTGGGCACACATATTTCCTTCCACCTAATGCCTCTGTTCACCTAGCAGTAAATAGGTACTTCTGGAGATAAACAACTGTAGTTGGGGATACATATATATATATATACACACAGGCTGCCTGTCCCCCGACGAAACTATGTTAATAGATCATATTTAACATCTGTTCATAGCTTTCAACAGATGTTAATTAACATGTGAGCAAATATATGTTTTATGTAAAGAAAGGGGTGGAATATCTGGCTTCATTTACAAACTCATACCTGACTATTTTTTAGCTCCAGGCTTGTGGTTGACAGGTGTGTGATTAGGGCATTAATTATACACCCTAAACCTGTGCCTATTGGCCAGTCAGGTGTTTGTGTTTTCTCGTGATACAGTACTATGTTAGTCAGGTGTTTGTGGTGTCTCGTGATACAGTACTATGTTAGTCAGGTGTTTGTGGTGTCTCGTGATACAGTACTATGTTAGTCAGGTGTTTGTGTACTGTGGTGATACAGTACTCTGTAAGGTGTTAGTACTGTATCTCTTCTAGGGTACAGAAACATTCGTCACCTGTCAAACAGACGAGACAGGAGCTCAATAAGGAAGACATCCTGTCAACAGACAGTAGCAATCCGTACACAGTGCCGAATGAGCTGTCCGCCCTCACAGACAGACAGACAGACAGACAGACAGACAGACAGACAGACAGACAGACAGACAGACAGACAGACAGACGGAATATCAACATTCCAATTAACATAACCAGTTGCCACCAATTTCAGCATTTTTCTGCAATGATTGCAAATGTGAAATGCGTTAAATGAACACACCAACAAATCTTGATTGGTTGCAAGTCAACAAATGTATATGTGACTCACGACGTTCAAACAAATAAATGATGAACTTTTATGTTCAATATCCGACTATTCACGTGTTCAAACAGCCTGTGGTTAATGCCAAACAATCACTCACCCTTGTAAGATGACCTTGCAACCTTATAGACATCTTGGCTCCCCCTCTCATATATGTAGAACACAGTGTTACTGGTGTTTCAGATTTAGCTACTGAGAACGAAGCGTCCATGTAGCACGGGCTATGGTGAGCCCGTGATAGAACACACACTTCTACAGTGTTCTGTATAACAGAGACATGTGTGGGGTAGGGAAGGTCAGATGACCGCCTGACCTTAGTGTGTGGGGGGTAGTGTCCTTGGGGGTGTGAGGCAAGAACTTGCCTCTGGTAAGGTAAGGTAACCTTAGACAAACAATTGCGTTAGCAATAGTTGTACTCACCTAGTTGTGTTTGCGGGGGTTGAGCTCTGGCTCTTTGGTCCCGCCTCTCAACCGTCAATCAACAGGTGTACAGATTCCTGAGCCTATCGGGCTCTGTCATATCTACACTTGAAACTGTGTATGGAGTCAGCCTCCACCACATCACCCCCTAATGCATTCCATTTGTCAACCACTCTGACACTAAAAAAGTTCTTTCTAATATCTCTGTGGCTCATTTGGGCACTCAGTTTCCACCTGTGTCCCCTTGTGCGTGTTCCCCTTGTGTTAAATAGACTGTCTTTATCTACCCTATCAATTCCCTTCAGAATCTTGAATGTGGTGATCATGTCCCCCCTAACTCTTCTGTCTTCCAGCGAAGTGAGGTTTAATTCCCGTAGTCTCTCCTCGTAGCTCATACCTCTCAGCTCGGGTACTAGTCTGGTGGCAAACCTTTGAACCTTTTCCAGTTTAGTCTTATCCTTGACTAGATATGGACTCCATGCTGGGGCTGCATACTCCAGGATTGGCCTGACATATGTGGTATACAAAGTTCTGAATGATTCTTTACACAAATTTCTGAATGCCGTTCGTATGTTGGCCAGCCTGGCATATGCCGCTGATGTTATCCGCTTGATATGTGCTGCAGGAGACAGGTCTGGCGTGATATCAACCCCCAAGTCTTTTTCCTTCTCTGACTCCTGAAGAATTTCCTCTCCCAGATGATACCTTGTATCTGGCCTCCTGCTCCCTACACCTATCTTCATTACATTACATTTGGTTGGGTTAAACTCTAACAACCATTTGTTCGACCATTCCTTCAGCTTGTCTAGGTCTTCTTGAAGCCTCAAACAGTCCTCTTCTGTTTTAATCCTTCTCATAATTTTAGCATCGTCCGCAAACATTGAGAGAAATGAATCGATACCCTCCGGGAGATCATTTACATATATCAGAAACAAGATAGGACCGAGTACAGAGCCCTGTGGGACTCCACTGGTGACTTCACGCCAATCGGAGGTCTCACCCCTCACCGTAACTCTCTGCTTCCTATTGCTTAGATACTCCCTTATCCACTGGAGCACCTTACCAGCTACACCTGCCTGTCTCTCCAGCTTATGTACCAGCCTCTTATGCGGTACTGTGTCAAAGGCTTTCCGACAATCCAAGAAAATGCAGTCCGCCCAGCCCTCTCTTTCTTGCTTAATCTGTGTCACCTGATCGTAGAATTCTATCAAGCCTGTAAGGCAAGATTTACCCTCCCTGAACCCATGTTGGCGATTTGTCACGAAGTCCCTTCTCTCCAGATGTGTTACCAGGTTTTTTCTCACGATCTTCTCCATCACCTTGCATGGTATACAAGTCAAGGACACTGGCCTGTAGTTCAGTGCCTCTTGTCTGTCGCCCTTTTTGTATATTGGGACCACATTCGCCGTCTTCCATATTTCTGGTAGGTCTCCCGTCTCTAGTGACTTACTATACACTATGGAGAGTGGCAAGCAAAGTGCCTCTGCACACTCTTTCAGTACCCATGGTGAGATCCCATCTGGACCAACAGCCTTTCTAACATCCAGATCCAGCAGGTGTCTCTTGACCTCCTCTCTCGTAATTTCGAACTCCTCCAAGGCCGCCTGGTTTACCTCCCTTTCTCCTAGCACAGTGACCTCACCCTGTTCTATTGTGAAGACCTCCTGGAACCTCTTGTTGAGTTCCTCACACACCTCTCTGTCATTCTCTGTATACCTGTCCTCGCCTGTTCTAAGTTTCAATACCTGTTCTTTCACTGTTGTTTTCCTTCTGATGTGACTGTGGAGTAGCTTTGGTTCGGTCTTGGCTTTGTTTGCTATATCATTTTCAAAATTTTTCTCTGCTTCTCTTCTCACCCTGACGTACTCATTCCTGGTTCTCTGGTATCTCTCTCTGCTTTCTGGTGTTCTGTTATTCCGGAAGTTCCTCCACGCCTTTTTGTTCAGTTTCTTCGCTTCCATACATGCCCTATTATACCATGGATTCTTCTGTTGCTTCTCGGATTTTTCCCTTTGGGCCGGGATGAACCTGTTTACTGCCTCCTGACACTTTTGGGTAACATAGTCCATCATACCCTGTACAGACTTGTCTCTGAGGTCTGTGTCCCAAGGTATTTCACTTAGGAAACTTCTCATCTGTTCATAATTCCCCTTTCGGTATGCCAGCCTTTTGATTCCTAGTTCTTTTTGGGGGGAGATAAGTCCTAGCTCTACCAGGTACTCAAAGTTCAATACACTGTGGTCACTCATTCCCAAGGGCGCTTCCATCTTAACTTCCCTTATATCCCATTCATTTAGGGTAAATATCAAATCAAGCATTGCTGGTTCATCTTCTCCTCTCATTCTTGTTGGTTCTTTGGTGTGCTGGCTTAGAAAGTTTCTTGTTGCCACGTCCAGCAGCTTAGCTCTCCATGTTTCTGGTCCTCCATGCGGGTCTCTGTTCTTCCAATCTATCTTCCCATGGTTGAAGTCTCCCATAATTAGTAGTCCAGATCCATTCCTGCTAGCAACAGAAGCTGCTCTTTCTATTATGTTAATGGTGGCCATGTTGTTTCTATCATATTCCTGTCTAGGTCTTCTGTCATTTGGTGGTGGATTATATATGACTGCGACTATAATTTTTTTCCCTCCATTTGTTACAGTACCTGCTATGTAGTCACTGAAACCTTCACAGCCCTGAATATCCATCTCCTCAAAATCCCAGCCTTTTCTTACCAGCAGAGCTACACCACCCCCACCTCTTCCTTCCCTCTCTTTCCTCATAACATAATAGTCCTGTGGGAACACTGCATTTGTTATCGTTTTCGTGATCTTTGTTTCTGTGAGGGCTATTATGTCTGGGTTTTCCTCTAGTACCAGTTCTCCAAGCTCATTTGCTTTATTTGTAATTCCATCTATGTTAGTGTACATCGCTTTGAGGCTCACTTTCTTCTGTCCCTTCTCAAATCGCCTCCTTGGTGAGTGTTCTGCTGGTGGGGGAGGCTGTTCCATGGGTGTGAGGACCTGTGAGGTGGATAACAGGGTCTCAGAGGATACTGGGATGAGGGGCGGGGGATCCAGTGAAGGGGGAGGGACAGGGAGGGTATGGGGTGAAAGGGGAGGGAGGACGGGAAGGAAAGGGGGGGAGGGAGGACTCGGGAGGAGGGGAGGGGTAGAAGGGTGGGGATTGGGTGTGGGGGGAGGGAGATTTGGCTGAACATTTGAGTGGGGGCAGGGAGGGTTTGGGGTAGGGGGGTTTTCTATGCAGAGGAGGGAGGCGGGGTTGTCCTCCCTTCTGGTGTTACTGGGTAGCTGGTTGTGGGTTCCCCCCTCGCCTCTGGGGGTGTTGTGTTGGGAGCTGTGACTTCCTGGTTTTCCCCTCTCGCCCTGC